GGGCCAACCCAATCCTTTTTAAAGTTTAGGCAACCGTTTGTGTCCGCCACTCCATGCTGGAACAAATGACAAAGAGCCCTACAAAAGTGATGATGTTGCAATAAAATCCGTCGAATAGCTTGTATTTTTGTTCAACTTGACAAATAATATATATATATATAAGAAAATTAATTATTTAATTTCTAATTGAACAAGAAAATAATAAATTTTCTATATAATATGCTAGTCATCGATTCCATCAGCCAGGCCATGAATTGTGGGAGACACTATCATTGATTCTTGAGCTGTGCTATTAATTCCGATAAATGGATAAAGAAAACAACTGGAATGTCTAATCTTAAAAATATTGTCATATCCTTCATTTTATCATTTTTATTTTTCAGAACTACATTGCAATTATATGGAAGATCATTACGTTACGATTGTCAACTAATTTTTTCCGTAAGTTTAGATGATCATAGATAATGAAATGTGACATGAAACGCAAACTAACTTGAAGTTCATTGACCAAATTAAGACAGATTAATTTTAAATTATCCAGTTGGAATTTTGCTAAAAGTTCAGCCACCACTGATGAAATTTACCCTAAATTGGTCAATCCAGAGCCAGTTGGCATTGCATCATCAAAGATTCAAATAAAAGAAAAGATAAAACAGAATAAAATATAATCAAGACATAGTCCACTTTCAATCAGTACTAACGACCAAACAATTAAAACAAGGAAGAAAAAAAGATAGCGCCGCGATTACCTTCCCAACCATTTTCCTTTCCTTTTCCTCTTCTCTGAAAAATAATTTTTCTTTTTTTCCTTCCCATTTTCTATTCAATCATTCCTTTCTCTCCCGGGAATTCTGCATCAATTCGCCTGCTTTTTAATTAAAGGTAACATATTCATGGTGTTTTGGTTTTTAACAGAATACACGCGTACGTTTGTGTGGCCATATACTTATGATCCTTTGGTGGGTTTTTAACAACTGATTTCCACTTTCTGATTTTTTATTATGATTAATGTAAAAATTTTGATGAAATTCTTGGTGCATATTTTACATGTTTGCTTAATATGTCAGTTTAATAGCTTGCATGCTCATTTATTGTTATTGGGCTCGAAATATACTGCTCTTAATTAATTAAATTTTCTTGATGCTTATGGATTGTTTTCCTCCCCGTGCTAATGAGAAAGGGAAATTAAATTATGATGTATCTGAAGAAGAAATTATTTGACTCACTACAAGTTTCATAAAGGCCGCTTTTTGTCAGCTAATTGAGAAAATTTTTGGCATATGTGCGACAGATATATCCCCGTATGCAACAAAAACTACCCGTTTTGAAGGATAAATTTGGGAGTCTTGTTTACCAGTCTTGCTCCTGATAGGCCTTTCTAAATATTTTCCTTATGATTTCCCAGGTTAAACAGTACCTGCAAGTGATGGTATTCTATAGAGATGATTAAGTTGCTGCATCATATAATTGTTTTTCTGATGTACAGAATCAACTGGAGAAAATTGTTTTTTATTGGTTCAGTTCTTACAATAAGTAGTGTTTTTATACAAATTTCTACCCTTCCTTACCCACTGAAAGAATGGATTTTCCCACCTTCCACAGTAGTTTCATCTTTTGAACCTTTGAACACTACTACAATGGGTGACGGTTTTGAAACCGTTCATAATGCCACCGTGATTGTTTCATTTAATTCTTCTTCCAAAGTCAATGAATTAGTGCTAGAAACCGAGGAGGCAGAAAAAGATTTTAGGAGGAGAATGCAAAGAACCAATAAAAATTCCACAAGTAAAGTTTCTCCACCATTTTCACCTTCACCTGTCCAAAAAATGGCTAATAACCCGCTGGTAAGTTCCTACTTGTTTTGATATTTCAAGTACCTGTGTTATTTTATTTCCTCATCCATCTCACTATATGCAGAGATACCTATCATCTTCAACACCAGATGAGGCCCTTGCATTTGCTAAAAGAGAGACTGAAAATGCCCCACTGGTTAGTGATGATCCAGAACTATATGCTCCCTTATTCCGAAATGTTTCTACTTTCAAAAGGTATCTCATAATCTTTTATTTTGCTAATATAGTATACTGCATCTTCTAAGAACCTAGTAATTTGCTGAGCAATAAATGGTGTACATACTCGTGTTATTAGTTTCTAAATGTTTCTACTTTCAAAAGGTATCTCATAATCTTTTATTTTGCTAATATATTATACTGCATCTTCTAAGAACCTAGTAATTTGCTGAGCAATAAATGGTGTACATACTCGTGTTATTTGTTTCTAAAACTGATGGTATAAGTATCTTTATATATATCCAGATACAACTTGAATTTGAATATGAATTCGAAGGAAGACATTGATGATATACAAGATGATTTCATGCTTGGTAGTGGGAGCATATTTGTAAACACAATAACATATTCTTGTGTTTAATTGTTTCATGTTTAATGTACAAGGAACATTCCATAATCAGAACTTTAACTGTGGTAATATCATGAATTCTAATGTTATGGCTTAAAAGGTAGACGTTTACTACGTAATACAATCCATACTACTACCACAATTATAATATAATTGATGAGATTAACTTTAAGAAGTTATTGTCATATCAAGCACATCTTTTTGATCATGATTGCATTAAAAAATTGTCCATAGAAAATTGATTTTGATAAATGTTGAGAAAGTAATATAGCTGGGATATGTAAAATATTGGATCTAGTTTGATTTATAAAAGGTGAGTTCATTTGATAATATGAGAAGGATGGTTATTGTGGAATGTATTGAGCAAATACTGTCTTAGATTTTGATTTAAGTATTTGTCATGGCCTAGTGTTATATAGTATGTATGCATTCTTGTATATATTCATGGAGTTAATTGAGCAAAATACTGCTTTTACTTTGTATATAGCAATGTGCCATTGTCTGTCATGAAATTATCAGTAAGCATCAAGACTTTTAATCATTTTTTTTAGCCCTAAAACCAATGTATTTTCTTATATCAACTTTTAGGCTTCAAAAATGGAAAGTTAGCTTTTCTCTCCAGTTCTTATCGAGGTCTATTTTTGTTTATATCAGTCTGATGAATGCAAGCAACTATTTTTTGTCTTCTATTTTTCATTGACCACTTAAGGGTGCGAGTGATTAGCGTAAGATTGGACTAATTCCACATTTTTTAGAATTCTGTTAATAAGATCATACGAAACACATTCTTGTTTGTATTAAAATTTGGCCCAAGTATGGTTTTCAGTCGATAATCGTTAAGGGTATCAAAGTTTTGCATTGAGATTATTGTGTGCTTTTCAGCATTTCTCCTCATATAGCACTCTGAAATGAGCGTGAGTCTTTCACTTTCTTCTACATCTAGCTAATTGGCCTACGTCTTGTTGGTCAAAAGTTTGGAAGGAACTGATGGAGTTCAGCTCTAGTTTGTAAAACCAGGTTTTGGTAGTTCTATTGAGGGCATTGGGGAATATTGGCAGCAATTGGAACTGGCGACATCAAATCTATAATCATTTTAGGCAGTTGACTGGATATCCAGACCGACTCCTTGCTAGGAAGCCTGAAGAACTTCTATAGGATTGGCTAGTCATGATACTCTGTGTGAAAAGTATGCAAAACTTTTATTCAGTAAAGATCTAATGGGCTCCATTTGGAAATCCCCATTCAACCTATTGGCCCATAAGACTTAGCACATATATTGGGTCATCCAATGTGCCAATCACGTGATTTGTTAAGTGGAATATGTTAGAGGGGGAACCACGTGCTTCAGAATTTCGAGGTTGGGGACGAAATGCCAAGAAAAATCGGTCCGGGACACAAGTATTCCTTTATGTAAAGATTGGGCACTTCTGTTGTTATTTTTTCTGAAAAAAAATAAAATAAATTGAATGCTTGGCTCCATGGCTGTTAGTTTGGGGGTAGAGTACTAAAGTGAAAAGGAATTTCTAGAGTCCGACTTCCTTGTGTGTGCCATACTGATGCTCTATTCCAAGGGCTGAACTCTTCTCAGTTCAATCTCTTTCTCGAGAGTCATTTTTTTCTTCGACAGGGCCTAGAATAATTTTTTGAGACACCAAGCTCTTAGAATGAATGAGTACTTCTGGACTCTCTGACTAACAATTTAAACTGGACTATTAGTATCCGAATGCATAAAAATGGATTTTTAATCGATTGATGCACTTTTCCTTTCCTAGGAAACTGACAAGCCTTGAAAATTGTGTATTGTTGAAGAAGACTGCTCCTTTTTCTCCTCTAATAATGTATGAGCTATAATTGAAATGGTCCAAAATTTATGAAGAATATTTATATCTTTGTCCAATTTTTGATATGCTGCTTATGAATGATCTGTTTTCAATTTTTACATCCAACTGCTCTTGAAGCTTATTGCTATCGATTTTAACTTCTCAGGATATTTATGAAATTGCAGGAGCTACGAGCTGATGGAACAGATACTAAAAGTTTACATATACAAAGAAGGAAAAAGGCCCATTTTCCACCATCCTTATCTCAGAGGAATTTACTCATCTGAAGGATGGTTTATGAAGTTGATGGAAGAAAACAGGAAATTTGTAACGAAGGACCCAGAAATGGCTCACTTGTTTTATCTTCCATATAGTGCACGCCAGTTACAGAAGGCTCTCTATGTCCCTGACTCACATGATCTAAAGCCATTATCGATCATTCTTAAAGACTATGTGAATATGCTTGCTGCAAAGTATCCTTTCTGGAACCGCACTCATGGATCAAATCATTTTCTCGTAGCTTGTCATGATTGGGTATGGTAGCTCTATGACATGTGCTAAGCATTACTACCTTCTTATTTATGCTTCCATGTGCACGTAATTTTACATCCCAGAGAGAGTACTCATTTTAATTTGAAATTTCAGCTCCCATTTCTTCTGTTAATCTTTTTTAGTTCCATTTACTTAAAATTAAACTCCCATTTTTCCCACCTCATTTTTTTTCCATTATTGCTTGAAGGGACCATATATTTTGAAGGAGCACAAGGAGCTTCAGAGAAACACTATAAAAGCTCTCTGCAATGCTGATGTCTCAGAAGGAGTCTTTATTGCTG